AAATACTTTTTTGCCACACTGTATGTCTGCCACACTACTAAGCTAAGTAGAATTGAAGTGCTTTTGCTTTTGAAGGATGATAATAGATGGGGGGGGGGAGAGTGAACAATGAAGTGTTCTGTACAGGTAATATCTGATACAAAGTTTCATACCTGTGTCAGATTATGGCTACATGATTACAAATGACAGGTATAATTTATCTCTAGGAGTCTGGTCACATCACAATAGAAGCAAAGATCTATCTTTCCCAACAAAGTCATTTGGAGTTGTTGGGAGTCAGGCAGCATACAAATTTTATCTACTATTAAACTAAATGTTTATAAGCATTTATTTATAGGCATTATCTTATGTTTATCATTAAAGTAAAATTTGAGTTACTTACAGACTTACCCTTCCCTTCAGTGGGATGTGCACTATAGTTGAGAAGCACTGCTCTAGCATGTAAAATAGCCGCCCAGAGTCCCCTATTATGGGGGAGGTGGGCGGGGGAGAAATCCAACAAATAAATAAATAAAAATAAAATAGTTAAAGGATGGATTGTAAGGACAATATTTTGTTCCTGAGGGCTACATGAGGTTGGGAACAGTGGCCTGGGGGTTGCACAGTGGCAGATGGTGAGACTTGACACAGTAGCTAATATCAGAACTCTTACCACCCCCCTTCACATGTTGTTCTCTACTGCTGAATCAGAGTATAGAAATCAAGAATACTTAAGGAATCTGCATCTTTAATTAAAGGATTATATTTATCCTTTATTTAGTGACTGCCTTGTTTAGTGACCATTTGCAGTTATGGCATTGATAAAAAAGTAAAAAGGTTTATGATCAATCCTTGCATTTACAACCTTTGCAGGTCTGTAAAACAAAGGAAAGCTACAGTAAGATCATAAGCACAGACACGGTGTCACTTAGTGACCAGTTTGCTTAATGCCTGAGTTGATGGTCCCAATTGTGGTCACTGTATAAGGACTACCTGTAATACTAAACTGTAACAGAAATAAGTTTAAGGGATCATAATATTTGTTCTAATGTTACTTAATATTTAGTGTCTGCACTGATTTAAATATTTATTAAAATATACTTGAACTTTATTAGTATAGCTGTTTTCACAAATTCACTGTGATGCATTGGCAACTGAGTTTTGTATCACCTACAGAGATTTGATCCAGTGGTGCTTAAAAACATCCCTTCTGTGAATGCAAAACTGAAAGTCATTAAACACCTAATAAGGTTGGTAATTCTTTTCACCAGCAATATTTTGAAATTGCTTTAGTGTAACAATACTAATGTGTTGTTTTTCCCCCCATTCTTGACTATAGAATAAAGCCATTAAAACTGCCTTATGGAATTCCAACTGAAGACGAAATACCTGATACTTACCTTAACAAGATCACAGGTGAACTGATAGTTTGTCGCCACCTAAAAGAAGTAGAAAAGAACTCAATTGATTCTTCATAATAATGTATTGATCCTTTATATAATAAATGTAACATTAAATTGAGATTTGCATTACTGTAATTACCACATAGGGGTCATATGCATGTTCATTTAGAGCAATTTCTCCAGATTTAACTGCCTTATCATCAAACTAGATAGCACTGTTACTGAGAAAATGAAAACATTTACCTCGTATTTGGGCACAATTTCTGCCTGTACTGTTTGGCTGTTGTAAATATGACAATATATATAATAGGCTGCAGGTTTTGAGATATATTTTGTTATGCATACAGTTTACAGAAGGCTGTGACTAAGATAATAGCAAACTGAATGTGTGTGACTGGCTGGTTAAACTAATTAGAATCTGCTTCATTGGCCATTTTTAGTCTGATAAAATTTGATTTCATAAGATATAATACAGTTGTAAATAATGTACCAAAATACAACATTTCAACAATAAACTGTCATCAGGCAGATACAAGCAATGGTCAGTTAATTGTAAATAGGTCACATGATTGGTCTGTCATTGGGGTGTTACGTGATTTTTTTTTAAATAATGATTTCTCCTTTCCATGTTCTTCCAGTAATCTTTTCTCTCTCTCTTTTTTTTTTTAGTATTTCCATTTTGATTGTTTTGAGGATTTTCCTGTGGTATTCATTGGCTTCAGGGGCTATATGTTTCATGTTTTTCCAATAACTGACCCCCAGGAGGCAGCCTGCAACCAGATTTGCTCTTCCTGGAGTCTTTGGGCAGGTGTATTTCTATATCTGGTTCAGAGCTTTTAGGATTTGGGCCTGAAAGTTCAATGGCTGTGTTAAGGGAGTGCATCTGTCTTTAGAGCTAGTCTGGCACTTGGTGTCAGCAGCTAGTAGGAAGGTTTATGCAACCCCTTATGGACTTTTTGCCTAAAACAGAAAAAAATGAACTTACGATTTATGTTTTTATTAGACAGGATAGATTATAGAAAGAAGAGAGTTATGTTATAACCATAGAAGATTTGTAATTGTACTTATGTGATTATTTTGTTACAATAATTATGTAATTATGCAACTGTAGAAATTTATAATTGTATTTATAACTGCTGTAAAGAAGATCAGAAGCTACTTCTTTGTATTTTTTTTCTTTTCTATTTTTCTTTTACTTTCCTTGCACTTTTAGCTTTCTCTTTGATTTCTTTTTCTTTTCTTTTTCTTATATTAGTTTGTATTAGTTTTTATCTTCCTTTTTCATATATATGTATATATATATAGGTTTATGCATTGCATGGTGTACAGTACTATACAAAAGTTTAGGCAGGTGTGAAAAAATGCTGTAAAGTAAGAATGCTTTCAAAAATATATAT